TATATAAGGTGTGAGGTTAAGTTCCCGCATTGGAGGATCCAAAGGGCAAGAACATGGAAAATTGAACAGATCTTGGGCTACATATTGGTCATTCTGAAGAGCTTAAGGAAACTTTTTTCCCGTGGCATTCAGCAAACCTCGCCGTGGCAACTGAATATGGAGGGTTCCCCAAAATTAGGGGCCATTTTCGTGGTCCCCATAATAAGGATAGTGGTATGGGGTCCCCTGCATTTTAAGTCCTCTCTAGAGAAAGTACCATAACATAAGTTCCTCTCAACAGCAACCCAGGTGAGCTTACTTGTGGGCGCCGTGCTGGCAAAAGGAGCTTGGGTTTAGGGTCTAAACCCAAAACCCTAAACCCTGGGGTTCAAGGTTAGGATTCCACAGAGCCACGGTCTTCTAGAAACTCCATGGAGGTTCATCAAGGCAATTGGAATCCAAGTATAACTCGCATTCTAATTAGAGCCACATTAGGGGAGTGAGGGTGCTCAAAACTGGGGTATAATTACAGTCATAACTGGACTTTACCTGAGTTTTCATGTGTAAGGTATGCAAGGAGGGTCCGCCAAGTTCTAAGTTGGGCTTGAGGTATGGTTGCCAGTCCAAGAACCTGTAGTTATGCGACTTTTCAGTATGTTGAGGTAACTAGGGGGAGGCCAACTCCGCATTCTTGGGAAGGATTCATACTGTCTCGATCTTCTGTCTTCAGAGTTTCAAGGTTTTCAGGTTTTGGTTGCGTGGAACCCTCTCCTCCAGGACAAGACGCCCATGCTGTTTAGAGTTTAGGGTCTAGGGTTATGGGGTTTGATTCTGAATATTTGTGTCCTTGTGGGACAAGAGGTTCGCCGAAGCCCCAAGCAGTACCTCAAACTTGTTGAAGCCAACTTGATTTCAGTTCACGCAGGCCTGATATAGCAGTTCCTAGGCGTCCCTTTTTGGGAGTCCTCATTTCAAAGTAATAGTGCTCGGGGTCTATATCGAGGTTCCCCCTATCTGTGGACCAGCATTGTGTTGACAGTTATCTTTTGGAGAGGACCTAGACGTGTACCAAAAGTCCAGCACATATAGTTATGTGCAACGTATCCCGAAGTTCGGGTGGGAAGTGCTATTGTAGATCCCTGCAAGGGTCTCCCAATCAAAAAGTGATCTGCGCTGCAGTCGAATGCTTCACAGTCCCGCTGTTTTGATGAGGGGTGTGGCATTTAAACTTCCAAAAAAGACGTGCGACATCCCTGATAGCTAGTCAAGAAAAGGCTAATAGTTTCCGGAAAGTCCCAAAACCCTGATGCCACGTTCGCTCGGGCTGAGTTGCATCAGGACTTCGTCCGACGACCGCTCTGAGGACTGGAAGAGAGTTGTTTTGTTGGTTTAGGGTTTGGGGTTTGGGTGGGCTTGGGGCTTCGAATTTTGAGCGCACTCATTGTCCAAAGGATCTGCACAAAAGGCATTCAGAGTCGAAGCAAGGAGCGTTGATATCCTTGGCTCTCCACTGAGTGTAGGGGTCCTAGTAACAATCCTAACTCACATCTGTAAGCCCTAAGCCCTGAACCCCAAAATCTGCCTTGCAGTCCCGCGGTTTATGGAAACTACCATGAGCTTCTGAAGTGTCTCGGTGCGGATCTTGGGCTTCTAAGCATATATTCATGATGCTCGGTTTGCCCTAATCCCTAAATGGTAGTTTCCATTTTATTTTCCATTATCCCAATATAACCCCAATGTTACCCTAACGGGCTTACCCTAATGGGTACCCTAAACCCGTAGGGTTCGGATCTGATGGGAGTTAACACACTACGTCACAAAGGCTTACATCTTAGACGTACAAGACATTCAGAGTACTTGAGGAGTTATGTGGGCCTGGTTTTTATATGCCAGCGAAAAAAATTACGGGGGTGGGGGAGGTTGGGGGGTGGGGTGGGGGGGGGGG